TGGGGTAGTATCATGTATATATAGTGATATATACATAGATAAATAGATCACATGATCTACCTACTACCCAATTGTGATAAGCATTGACGAAGACCTAGAGGTCGTTGCAATGAACAAATACAAAAAAAAAAATTTAGTACCGTAAATACAATAAGATAATACCTTCGCAAGACGTCATCAACTTTTAATTTTGGTTTTTATAATGTTGAGCATTAAAAACACTTTAATATTATAATATTGTCGGTTGATGAAAATATAATAACATGTAAATTATATTCTCACGAGAGACAAATAAATAAACCTATACGCATGATTTCATTTTTGAAACACTATAATATATGTTGTCACAWGCAAACATGCCCATAACATAGTACAAGGTATGCGTAAAGTGCGTTTTGCTTTTATATTTACAGATGGAATACGTGGTAAACAGATAAGGTATGATAATTTCGACCAATTATTATTATTAATACCTCTCGATGGTTATAAAGTATTTAATATTTATCAGACAGTTTTGAATTTGATRCGTTCACGAATTCTGTTCTTTATTTTTTTTCCAACTCGTTAATATATTCCGAGTGTATTAGTCAGAACTTAGTRCAAAAAACTATATGCATGGGCACATTTTTATTAGATATTAATTCATAAAACCAGAATTTAATTWCAACTAAATGTTCTATATAGAATCTAGCCGATAAATGTTGATAGACTAGAGATATATTAACTAATATTCTGTACGGCATACCTCACGTATTAATATTATTGTACCCACTGCACACACAAGCTGATTTCTGTTGCCTTGGTAAACTATTTTTTGAATTGGGAAAAGCTATATACTAAGCGTAATGTTCCTCTTATTGCCTAATGTATCTAATAATTTTATTCACTAATGTAAATTTAATTTAGATTATATATATATAACGTTCCATATAAAATAACCAACAAGAATTTAATGAGATAGGTATCAGATATACAATATTAGTTGGACTTTGATATATTTTTATTATATCTATATTATTTAAAATTATTAAAATATTAAGATAAATAAAAATACATATAGAAACCAATAGTTCATTCGCTTTTCATAAATCCGATCAGAAAAAAATTGTTTGGTTTTTTAGTAATTATTAACATCATAGGCATTGACAAGTTGACAAAAATTACAAAACTCACACAGCGTGATGAAAATAATTAATCATTATTACCTAGATGAGTTTCCGTTAAAAATCAACCCAGCGCACCATAAGAAAAAAATGCRCAAATTTATTACCCTAGTATACAATTTGACTCTAGATTAGGTATCTACGAGGTCGTATATAATTTTTTCACGAAGAAAATGTTGAAATTACTTGCAAGTCATTTGAACGAGTTTGATGAAGTTATCACGACATAGCGGGTTCAATAAAATTCAAAAAATTATTCACGAGCGTGTATTATACTACGTATAATCAGACGAAGCTGCTTGAAATAGCCATAGATAATCATTTGAAAAATACGTAAAAAAATATCACATCTTGTTAAATGTCAATGAAATATAGGTGCTTCATTAAATAACAGAAAAATCATAGTATTAATTAAGATAAAAGTGATGTCAATAAAACTATGACATTACTATTCTGCATAGTTAGCGTATTYACCTATAGAATATAGGTAATAGGTAGATATTTAAAGGACTAAATAAAAACAAATGTGTTTTAATGTACCTACAGTAAATTCAAGCTTAAAATAGGGGTACATAAAGATGTCTTTGCCCCATCACTATAAAATGTTAGGAGGGCACAACCACCAACTCATTGCTAACAATGCTAAACATGATTATAAGTACCTAAATAGTATAATAGGGTGATGCCCGTTTCCTCCTCCAAAAGTGTATCTTTCCCTTTTCCACCAATATCCGTTTCCACCAAATAAAATTATTAACCACGTTTTTACAAAAACAATTGTATACTACTATATTCTACGATTGAAAAAATAATATCAACCAATTATACATATATATATATATATATATATATATATATATAAGTAGATACAAATGATACAATATATACATAACTAAATACACTAATATATCATTTTTTAAATCCAGCATTAGTTTTTTAAATAAACTTATTACTGTATTAAAGATCTTAGTATAAGMATCGTATACAAATTATTTTGGTAAATTAACCGTGGTTTAATTATTGKTAGATCTCATTTGGTGGTAACGGATATTGGTGGAAAAGGGAAAGGTCTACTTTTGGTGGAAACGTGTTACGCCCGGGAGTTACCCGTTTCGCCAAAATAATATTGGCCGTTTCCGCCATAGCCCTTTTCCGCCAAAAACGAAAAATGTACGATTCCCGTTTCCGCAAAAAAAGTTTGGAAACCAATGGTGTTAATTTTTAAGCAATATATAATATGTTGTGGTATATATAAAATAAAATAGTAGTGTAAAATATAGGTAATAGCAATGACATTTGTAAATAATTGCGAAATTGCGAATAGGTACAACAATATATACAGCGATAATCTTCAATAATAATTATCGACAATTATTATTGTTGATAATCATCGATAACGGAAGGAAGTATACACTGTATTATAGTTTATTTATAATTCACACACAATAATTATCTGACAAATGTTAAATTCTTATATTTCGATTCAGTAGGTATCTGTTCTGTTCGTCATCAGTTAATACGGTTTTTAAAATGGAATTATTAATATTTTTTGTGACATTTTTAATTATTTAAAAATAACGATTTGTTTTTTCAAAACTCTATTGAGACTATATTTGACCTATACTTGTATTATAATTTTAAATAGTTAAATATAATGTATTATTAATTATTATTATCTACTTGTATTATAATTTATAGTAATAAAAATATTTTTATATGATAAGAATATGTAATATTTGTGCATGGTTCCCAAATTGACGGAAACGTCTTTTCACAAAAATAAATTTTGGCGGAAACGGGAATCATACCTTTTTCGTTTTTGGCGAAAAAGGGCTATACCTAAATCAGGGAACCGGTTTTTTGACGGATGGTTGTTGAAAATTTAAATTTAAAGACATTCAATTTACTTTMAAGTGTAATAAATTGCATAATGAAATTTGACTGGCGTCAATCATACATACAGAAATTTAAATATTAAATCAACAAAGGATTTCCTTACACCAAAATATATAACCTGAACCCTAAGATTACTTGATTATCTTTTTTTGTACCTATACAGTATACATATATGATTATCTTGTTCAATACTTATACATAATTGATTTCAAGTATATTATATCTTCGATGTATTATACATTTAATTACTATATTAGCAAATTTTGACTTTTCAAGTATATTTTAAAGAATACGGTCATTAAGCATATGAACTCTAATTGACAACTCGTGAATATAATATTTTTCTATGAAATAAAAATAATTAATTATGTTCAATAATAATAATTACTAAAGTTATATTTTATCTTATAAAACAATAATTTTCAATAATAATATATTACTTATATTTATTTCAATAATATTTTATAGTTTAATACTATAGGAATGTATGAATAACAATCATAATTTAGTATAAACTATTTATTAAATATTATCGTATATATTTTAACAGAAAAATATATCAAACTGTCAAACATTATAATATACTACAATAAATA